AGCTTTACCATTTTGACCAGTTTCACGCGTCTTCTCTAGAATTTTCTAATTTGTCCTTCTGCATTGCCAGGAAGTGGATTGCCACAACCCCATTCATCATTTTTTACCAGTGGAGTGTACTTTAAAAAAAAAAAAAAAAGAAGAAAGAAAACGGAAGTAAAAAAGAAAAGAATGACTTCAGTGTTTAGCCATTTCATGAGATCTCATTAGGTCTTGAGTGATGGCTATGGGAGCTGTCACCCATTTTCCAGTTCCTTCTTATGATACAGTGTCTTTGGTTGAAGAAGTGCTATCTTGGTTTTTCTTCATTAAGCAGTGCTTGGCTTTGGTGCATTTGAAGAGCTAGCTTTGCAGTAAACAAGTTGTTTTCAGTTCTTTCTTCTTTGAGATGTCACATCTTAGCATAAACCCCTGCACCAATGAAGTCTTGTTTTTTTTTATTCTTCATGATGCTTCTTCCATAAGGACATCACTTTCTTTCTCGCTGATGAAGTCTTATCTTGGCTCTTTCTTTGTCTTCCTGCGGCACATTTTTTAAGAATCAGTTCTTTGTGAAGAAGGTTGCATTGGCTCTATCTTTTGTGTGTTGTTCTTATGATCCACTTGAGTTCCAGGCTTCCAGCTTCATTTTCCTGTTGTAGTCCATTGTGCATTTTTCAGGTTCTAGTGGTGATGTCAAGGATAGTTGAGGATCAGAATTTTTGTTACTGCTTTTTCTACCCAAGAGTATTATATGCTCATATTATCACTCAGTTTACATTTTAAATTCATAACCCCTGGGCCCTAGAATAAAGGAAATGACTCAACCGTTGAACTGCTTGTCTTCAAAATTGGTGTGAAAACACTATATGATGGCAGCCTTATTCCTCTTACAATGTTTAGCATACCTAAGCAGTCGAACTTTTTACCTTCTATTTTATATGTATCTTATCTCATAATAGTGTTGGGTAGTCTTTCTATATATTCCAAGTGTATTATATCTATTCCAAATTTGATACAAGTTTTTTGGATAAAAACTCATTTTTGAATGCATTTGAGATGTGAAGAATGTGCTTTTTTTCTTTACTTATTTGCTTGTAGTTTTGGAACTGTCTGACCGGTACCAGAAGCGATTTGGTCCTTTGCGATACTTCATTGCTGGTTTCTTCAAATTCTTGTGTTTGCCAAAGTACAACTATGAAGTGGAATATCTTCCCGCGTCAAAAGAAGCAACTGAAGGCAGGAAAGCTTTGGCTGAAAAGGAAGTTATTGATATGTCAGAGCTGTACACTGACATCATGAGGAGATCAAGCAAGGAAGGCCTTCCCAGAGCCTCTAGCTTATCAAGCATTGATTCAATAATGACTCCAAGTAGAATGTCTGGAGCAGACTTGGATACTACCTGCAGTAGCACCGAGCCATCTGAGTATGTACGTGCCATAGATCCAAAATCTAAACGGTTATCTGCTGGAAGAAGCCACCAATCAACTACTGAACCAGAAGTTATCCATCCGCAACTTCCTCTTTCTGCAACTACAAACTATCCCAGGACTAGGTCGAAGTCTAGGACTGATAAAGGATGGACCGGATTGCCCGCTACAAATGATCCCACTAGATGTTCTTGGGGGAATATTGCAACACATGATAAAGAGGATATTTCATCCACAATATCGGATCCTGGTCCAATTTGGGATTCAGAACCAAGATGGGACTCTGAACCTAATCATTGGGACGTCGAAAACCCTATTGAATTGCCAGGGCCAGTGGAAGACACTGAAGATGTTGCTCAGAAGGAGATGTTCATAAAGCCCGAGGAGAAATGGGTCACTACAAAAGGTCACTTTCTTGGTGTTCTTGTATGCAACCATTCATGTAGAACGGTTCAAAGTGTGAGTTCACAGGTTGTGGCCCCCAAAGCTGAGCATGATGATAACACATTAGATTTATTGATGGTTCATGGGAGTGGGAGGCTAAAGCTTTTGAGATTTTTCTTGCTTATGCAAATGGGTCGACACCTTTCACTGCCATATGTTGAATATGTTAAGGTAAGCCGAACCAAACTCTTTCCCTTACCCCGGTGATGATTTTAGGTTTGTCTGAACATGAATATATTTTATTGACAGTCATTTCCAAATAATAAACATAAATATTTCATAGAGAGTAAAATAATTTGGAAACAATTACATAGTATTATTTGTTAGTTTCTGAAATTGGTCCAAGTGCTTGAACCATGTGTCTCTGCAAAACAGTGTCATTTGCTTTTCCATGAATTGCAGGTAAAATCAGTTAAGCTTAAGCCGGGAAAGCACACACACAATGGCTGTGGTATTGATGGCGAACTTTTTAGCGTTAATGGACCAGTCATCTCATCCATACTTCCTGACCAGTGCCGGCTTATTGGTCGCTCGACCAATAGTAATAAATGATGGATACATGTCATCACCCCTTTACGCGGGGATTCTTAGCTATGTTAATACTCTGGTTCACCTCTCATAACAGATCTTGAGCGCACTTTGTAATGGCAAAAACTTTTGGTTTTTTTTGGTTTGCAAGCTGAAGCCCCTGTAAATTTTGCTGCTGCTGTTTTTAGGCTTATTTTTCTATTTTTTAAAAAAGTTATTGTTGGTATAGTATACAATGTATCCATCACTACATGCCCACATGTTTAGCAGTTGGCTTTTGTGCGGAGAATGGTGTTGAGTTGATAACCATGCTTGTAACGTAACAGGTTTGATACACTTAGGCAAATAATCTTTTGCTTTTTTTTTTTTTTTTTGGGCATGTCGGTGGGGAATGAAGATTGAATTTGAGATCTAATTAGTGGGGTGAATGTATGATGTGATTATAAGTCCATAATTTTGAAAGGTGTTCGAGATGAATATCGTGTCAATATTCATTACTATTATGAAGGGAAATTTTTATTATTTTATGTGTTGTAGTTCGATTAACAAACAAAGTTTGATTGAAATTATTTTTGATTAATTTTTTTTTTTTTTGTATAATATAGAGTATTAAGTTTAGTATTAGTATGCAAAATTTAGATATAGTAAATTTTAATTTTGGTCCTGTGACTATTGTGGTCTTGTTAATTGTGAAATTTTAGTTATTCCGATCAAATTTTACTTGGAATAATTAGTCAATTAATCTTTAATTGAAAGAACAATTTCATCTTTGTATGTGTGGTCGAAAATAGAATAGTGGAACTCCGATGTCCTTAGCAATATTGACAGAGGATGAGAGCCTTCACCTTCGAATCCTCCTTTTGAATCCAACACCTTCACTTTCAATTTGGCATCATCCCTTGTGCAATCATTAGTGAACAAAATTTGGGTTGAAATTGTAAGTGAAAAGGGAGAGAAGAAAGGTTTTTGGCAGGGAGTATGATTCGGTTCCTAGTTATTGCGTTGGGTGTTGCTGGTTTGGGCATTTGTCAAAGGTCTGTCGAAGGGGGAAATAAGGTGAGACTGCGGTAGAGAGACCTCAGGTGGCGGAGTGGATGGAGGGGATTGGGGGAAATAGGATGAGACTGCGGTAGAGAAGGTGACTTTGTGGGCGAAAAAATCGTTGGTAACTTTAATCGAAATATTATCTGATTAGAAATGCAGATAGCTACAAAATGAATGGGATTTCAATTTTCACAATGAGTGTTTCACAATAAGTGTCTTCCTTTTACCTAATGAGTTGTGTAAGGAAATTGAAAGAGTCATGAATGCTTATTGGTGGGGTTGTGAGGGAGATAGAAGCAAGGGAATACGTTGGGAGGCCTTATGTGTCCCAAAGAACTAGGGAGGTATGGGGTTTAAAAAGCTTTGGGAATTCAATATTTCCATGTTAGGAAAACAAGCGTGGATGCTTATTCACTATCCTAATTCCTTGTTGTCCAGAGTGTTTAAGGCCAAATATTTTCCAAGAATCACTTTTTTTTGATGCACAAATGGGCAGTAACCCCTCCTATATTTGGCGCAACATTCTCGAGTCACAAACTGTTCTTAAAAGGGGCTGTAGATGGAGAGTTGGAAATGGTGCATCTATTAATATTTGGACTGACCCTTGGCTTCCTAATAACGCTTCTCCTTTTGTGCTTTCTCCCATGGCAGATCACCATCAAATTACCTCTGTGGCTAGTCTGATCGACATAGCTGATTCAACTTGGAATGCACCCCTTATTGAGGAAATCTTTGGCCAATCTGATGTTGATCTCATCAAGAGTATCCCCATTGCTGATAATATGCCCGCCGACAAGATCATCTGGATGGAAGAGGAAAAATGTGTCTATTCAGTCCAAAGCTGTTACAGGAGTTTGGTTCAGAATTTCAGCAACACACAGCCTCCCTTTTGGCCAAGAATATGGAAGATGCTTCTCTCTCCTAAGATAAAATGCTTCTTTTGGCAATTATGTTCAAATGTCTTGCCCACCTATGATCTTTTGTCCCTATTACATGTCAGCTATGCAATGGAGATGATGAGAGCTCACTCCACTTATTTGTCAATTGTCCCTTAGCGAGAAGCTGTTGGAGCTTGGTGAATGGCATAGACAATTTCTCTGGTAACTCTTTCATTGAATGGTTGGAGTCCTACTTTGCCACCAAATCTGATAGTATCATTGCTATATGTTGGAAAACCTGGGATGCCCGAAACGAAAAGATATGGAACCAAACAATTCTCTCAGCTCCTACTATTTGCCAGAGTGTCTTAATATTCTTGTAGGAATGGAAAACTGTTGTATCCTCCTCTTCTATTCTGCCTTCAGGAAGTATGGCTTCTGAACCTTGGACTAATTATTAGAAGAGAAAGGTGGCAGTTAAGCCTTGATGGCAGTTAAGCTCTGTTAAGAAGTTAGTTAGGATCTTTTCTCTTTTCTGTTATCTGTTAGCTCTGTGTATATAAGGCCATCTGTAAAGTTTCTTTTTAGTTGATGAAGACAGAACCAATGTAACAGTACTCTTCCTCCGTTCAATCAGATTTCCTCTTTTTCTTCATACTCTCTCTTTTGTAATATGGTATCAGAGCCATAAGCATCAATGGCTTGGAATGCGCAAAACAGACCTCCTGGTATCACAATTAATCCACCAGCAGTAGGAACTACAGCGACTACGCCGGCACCACCGATCAACTCTACCGTAGCAAACTTCGATCCAAATGACGCGGCTAGTCCGTATTTTCTGCATCCAAATGAGAATCCTTCGTTGATTCTAGTCTCCGCCGTCCTCAATGGCCGGAACTATCACCCTTGGGCCAGGGCAATGGAGATGGCATTGCTATCCAAGAACAAACTAGGGTTTGTTGATGGCACAATCTCTGCGCCAAATGTAGGAGAAGTGAAGTATCCCTATTGGAGGAGATGTAACAACATGGTGGCAACCTGGATCATGCGAGCTGTTTCCCCAGAAATTGCGTCTACGATCCTCTGGGTTGGATCAGCTGAACGCATATGGAGCATGTTGAAGGCAAGATTCAGCGAGGCAGACATCTTTAGGATCTCTGACCTACATGCAGAAATTCATCAAATTAGGCAAGGAGATTTGACAGTGAGTGCCTATTTTGCCAAATTAAAGAATCTGTGGGATGAACTCCAGGTTATTAGGCCTTTTCCTGTGTGTAAATGTGAAAGAGTCTGCGATTGTGGATTATTAGAGACTCTGCATCAGAACTTGGAGAACGACAATCTGTCAGTCTTCTTGAGAGGTTTGAATGATACTTATGCATCGGTTCAATCCCAGATTATGATGACGAAGCCGCTTCCCAATGTTGATGAGGCGTTCATGATGATTCAACAACAAGAAAGAAGGTTCAATAATGGAGTGGTAGGCTTGCAACCTCAAGAAGCAGGCAGTGTTTTACTCACTCAAGGCAGTGGGGCAGGTTTTAAGAAGTTCAACAATAATAATAACAAGAAACCTGTTTGTTCATACTGTGGATTCACTGGACACGTTGCCGAGAAATGCTACAAGAAAAATGGGTATCCACCTGGGTGGAAACCAAGAAATAAACCTGCTGGTTCTGCCAACCAAGTTACTACCAACAGATGAACAATCTCTTAATGAAAGCATGGGGTCTACCAGCACTGGATCTATCACTCTGAATCAAGATGAGTACAGGATGTTCAAGCAGCTCCTGCAGAGGGACAATATGGCCTATCAATCACCTTTGAATGGAATTGGAGGAGTGGCACCCCAGGTCAACATGATTGCTGCCAATTTCGTTCCCAATTCTCAATTTGAAGGTAATTACTCTAAACCTTCTTCTGAAAATAAAGTTGCTTGGATACTTGATAGTGGAGCTACTCACCACATTGTATGCCATCATGATATGTTGACTAATGCCAAGGAAGTCCAAGGTATGTTTGTTGAGCTACCTAATGGTGACAAAGCTGACATTACACATATAGGGTCTGTAAGTGCTGACAATCTGGTCCTGCAAAATGTATTCTGTGTGCCTGGTTTTCATTATAACCTGATCTCTATCAGTGAGCTAATTAAAACCTCCAAGTGCAAAATGTTATTATATTCTGACTGGTGTATTATACAGGATCAGGAATGTGGGAAGATGATTGGCTTGGCTAACTTGCAAAAGGGGCTATATTACCTTGTGAAACCAACCTTTCCTGTTAATGATAGACTAGCACAAGTTAGGGTCAATGCTTGTAATTCTGCCAATACTTGGCATGCTAGACTAGGGCATTGTTCCTATGAAAAACTGAAGCAGTTACCTATGATAGATGTAAATTTCAAAGTGAATAAAGATGATGTTTGCAGCATTTGTCATCTAGCCAAACAAAGGAGATTACCCTTTAATACTAGCTCTACTGTCTCTAGTAAGTGCTTTGACTTGGTACATATTGATATCTGGGGACCATATCACACACACACTATATATGGACACAGGTTTTTTCTAACCATTGTGGATGACTACAGCAGAGCTACATGGGTATACTTAATGAGAGGCAAAGATGAAGTTAGAACACTAGTCCAAGGATTCTGTGCTCTTGCCATGACTCAGTTTGGAAAAATGGTCAAGTGTATAAGAACAGACAATGGACAAGAATTCAAGATGGAAAAGTTCTACCAAGAAAAAGGCATCAATCACCAGACAACTTGTGTATATACACCACAACAGAATGGTGTAGTAGAGAGAAAACATGGTCATATTTTGGCCATTGCAAGGGCACTCAAATTTCAATCAGGGCTGTCAGATGTGTTTTGGGGAGATTGCATACTGCATGCAGTTTATATCATCAACAAATTACCTTCAACAGCTCTACAATGACAGATTCCTCATCAAGTCCTGTTCAAAAGGACTCCCCAATACTCACAGTTCAAAGTTTTTGGATGCTTAGCCTATGCTGTTCTGCACAAAGGGCATCTGGGGAAGTTCTCACCTAGAGCTAGAAGATGCTTATTTCTTGGTTATCCTAATGGAGTTAAAGGGTATAAGCTCTATGATCTAGATTCCAGGGAGGTTTTTATGTCAAGAGATGTGGTTTTCTATGAGCATATATTTCCTTACAAGGTAGCAAATCAAGTTGATGAGCAAGGTTCACCCCAGAATCTCATTCTGCCAAGTGATATCAGTTTTATGGAGGATGTTACCCCCCAAAGGACTGTCCAAAGAGAAGAGACAAGTAATCTCAGTGGCCATGCTGAACAAAATGATCTCATACCTGACATTATACAAAATGATCCTGATCTGGAACAATATGATCCTGTGCCAGTCCAGACCAGAAAGTCCAGCAGGCAAATGACCAGGCCTGCATATCTCAGAGATTATGAATACAGTTTGCCCACTACCAGGACCTCTCCCCACACTCTCTCAGCTGTTCTATCATACAGAAAACTATCACCCTCTTTCAAAGTCTTTGCTGCAAACATTCTAGACATTCATGAGCCCAAGTCATACAATGAGGCCATCAAACATGACTGTTGGAGAAGGGCTATGCAGGCAGAAATAGATGCTCTACAAGCCAATGACACATGGGAATTAACCACACTTCCTCCCTCCAAACAATCAATAGGATGCAGATGGGTATATAAGGTGAAACACAAAGCTGATGGCACAATAGAGAGATGTAAGGCCAGGCTGGTTGCAAAAGGATACACTCAGGCCTGTGGATTAGACTATGTGGACACTTTCAGCCCAGTTGCAAAAGTAACAACCATTAGAACCTTGCTTGCTGTTGCAGCTGCAAAAGGATGGCAGTTGCATCAACTTGATGTCAACAATGCCTTCTTGCATGGAGATCTTAATGAGGAAGTTTACATGGCCCTCCCCCCAGGGTTTCTTCCTGAGCAACCTGGACAAGTATGCAGGCTAAAAAGATCCCTCTATGGCCTAAAGCAAGCAAGTAGATAGTGGAATGCTAAGTTAACCTCTAAGTTGATCAGCATGGGATTCAAGCAAGCTGTTTGTGATAATTCTCTTTTCACTAGAGGATCTAATGATAATTTCATAGCACTTCTGGTATATGTGGATGATGTGATCCTAGCCAGCAGTGACAAGACTCAAATACAGCATATTAAAGACCATCTACACTCAGCTTTTCAAATCAAAGATCTGGGAAATTTGAAATATTTTCTTGGACTGGAGGTTGCCAGGAATCACACAGGCATTTCTCTAACTCAAAGAAAGTATGCCTTAGATCTCTTACAAGATGCAGGCTTCCTTGAAAGTAAACCTGCAAAGTGCCCCATGGTGCAAACCAACAAGCTTTCCAAAGGAGATAGTGCACCATTAGAAGACCATACTCAGTACAGAAGATTGGTGGGAAAGCTTCTATATTTGACCATCACCAGGCCTGATATTTGTTTTGCTGTGCAACAGTTATCACAGTTCTTGGATGGACCTACTGTTCTCCACCTCCAAGCTGTACATAGAGTACTTAGGTACATAAAAGGATGTCCTGGGCAGGGCCTATTCTATCCAGCAGAATCCAATTTGAAGATAAGTGGCTTTGCTGACTCAGACTGGGCAGCCTGTTCAGACACAAGGAAATCTGTTACTGGATTTTGTGTGTTCCTAGGTAATGCTTTGATATCCTGGAAGTCCAAGAAACAAAGCACTGTGTCAAGGTCATCTTCTGAAGCTGAATATAGGGCACTTGCTCTTACTGTTTGTGAAATACAGTGGTTATTTTATCTCTTGAAAGTTCTTGAAGTACACACAGAGGGGTCAGCCATGCTGTTCTCAGACAGCAAGTCTGCAATTGCAATGGCAGAAAATCCAATTCTCCATGAGAGAACCAAGCATATAGAAATAGATTGTCATTTGATAAGAGAAAAGATACAAGGAGGGATCATAAAGCTACTACATGTTCCTACTGAACATCAGACAACAGATATCCTGACAAAACCCCTACAACCAATGCTATTTCAAAAGTTTGTGTCCAAGCTGGGGCTTCATTCCATTTACACTCCAGCTTGCGGGGGGGGGGGGGGGGGGGGGGGGGGGTATTAGAAGAGAAAGGTGGCAGTTAAGCCTTGATGGCAGTTAAGCTCTGTTCAGAAGTTAGTTAGGATCTTTTCTCTTTTCTGTTATCTGTTAGCTCTGTGTATATAAGGCCATCTGTAAAGTTTCTTTTTAGTTGATGAAGACAGAACCAATGTAACAGTACTCTTCCTCCGTTCAATCAGATTTCCTCTTTTTCTTCATACTCTCTCTTTTGTAATACTAATCGCCATCAGGTCTTCTTAAAGTGAATGTCGATGCAGCTACGAATCAGGTTAACAGAAAAATTGGCATGGGTTTTGTATTACGTGACTCCCTGGGTGCTTTCATTGATGCAAGAATTCTCCCAGTTTTCAACCTCTTCAAGCCTAATGAAGCTGAAGCTATTGGTGTCCGGGAAGCGTTAAAGTGGTTGAAGGATCTCCAGTTCGACAACATCCAAGTAGAAATGGATTGCTTACAGGTTGCTAAGAGCATCCAACAATAAGACTTAATATCCTCTTTCGATCTTATCCTTCATGATATTAGGGAATTAGCTAAATCTTGTGAGCCTATAGCCATTAATGTGCAATCCAACTATTAGCTTAAGATTTTAGTTAAGATGGAGCATATACTTCAATTTGGTATCAGAGCCAGACTAAATGTCATGGGTTCGAATCTCAGCGCCACTCATAAGCAACTACGGTTTACCGGTTCACGGTGTGAGCCTATAGCCATTAATGTGCAATCCAACTATTAGCTTAGCCTTTTAGTTGAGATGGAGCACATACTTCAATTAATCTTTCACTAATGTTAGCTTTTTATTTGCTAAATGGTCTGCGAATAGGGTAGCCCATTTACTTGCCCAAGAAGCCCTATCCAAGTCTGACTGTTTGGATAGTTTTCATGTCCCTTTTCCCTTTATTTCGGATGTACTGATTTCAGATCCTAATTAATATACTTCTTCGTCTTTCTCTATAAAAAAAAATGTACTCAATTATTAGTTTTGAAAGTCGTGAATTGCAATTAACAAAATCATAATAGTCACATGACCAAAATCGAAATTTACTTATTTATATATTACCCATTTGTCTTCGCCTTTTCTAGTTACATAAATCATGGCTTTGCATTCTATGTGTGTTTCAGACGAATGTTTTTTCTTATTGTCACGCTCTAAATATTTTTATGCACGGTGACCTTGCTTTGAACAAACAAATTCTTGTCTAATAACCATTTGATTCTTTCTAGAGTTTATGCGACTTTTGTGAATTCCAAATCCTTCATGTTTTGCATAATTAGTATAACACATTAAAGCATCATCTGGTGATTATCTTAAGCTTCGGAGTAAGTAAGGAGCTCAACTCTTTAGACTGCTACTACTTTTAGGACTTATTCCACTTCAAGTTCCCTTCGGACAGACCGGTCAGCTCACTCTACCCAGAGTAAGCCTCCCTCGAAGGTGATTGAAACTCCATTCCAATACATAACTTTATTGTCTCATTATTCACTTCACCCTTCGCATTCTCACTGACATTTTGTTCAATCTCACTTATATTAAATTCATCATTATTCAAAAAATAAATAAAAAAAATTCATCATTGTTCACCAA